ATAACGACATTATTTTGATATTAACATTTTCGTACAATTTTCATTAAAAATTGAACTATTTTTATAAAAAAGAAAAAACTCCATTTCGAAAAATGTTGTACATTTTATGATCTTCTATAGGTAAAAGAATTTATTATTTCAAATTTTCATTTATTCAAAGTTTTACGAGTAATAATGTAATTCATTACGGGTCATTCACATTCACATTATTTCAATACATTTATCATTATGGTATACTGTAAATTGATTCTTGGAATTTCTACTATTAGAAGCGAACCCTTTCGACTGGAGTTACAAGTGCTCAGGAAATCGTACGGGGCAAAAACTCCCGAAGATTCAGTCACTTGAAAATTTCAAGTATCCTCGTAACTCTAAGTGAATATGTTAATCCTGTTTAAACTAATCTATGACTCACTACATTTGTATTTGCAGAAATATATCCTGTGTAATCTCTTCATTAACATTAATCGGTTTTACTGACGCGCTGGGAACTGCTAATTACTCATGTTAACGGAGATACCTATCAAATCCTAAAAATAAAATTCTTACTGCAGATTCTAGTTGTCTTAAAATTGATAAAGCAGTAATTTTTTTAAAATCACTTAAATTTGATAAAGCAATAACTTTTTTAAAATCACATTCAAAATTAACTATTTCATTTTTTAATTCCTACCTATTTTCACTCTAACACCATTTTCCACAAACTATGTATTCTAAACATATGGGTCAGATCATGGGATAAGATGTATAAAAAAAAAATTGCCACGAATTTTTAGAAAACATTGTTTAAATTTTAAAATTTTAGTAAAAAATGAACGATTCGCGATGAGAAATTTCAAGTGAGAAATAATATCTCAATTCAGAAATTTTATAGATTAACCCTTTAGCGCTCGTGCTGGTGTCTTAACAAGTGCACAACTGATCCTCCAAAAAGTGCAATTTTGTTCAATTATTTTCTGTCACTTTCCACAATGCGCTATCTTTTCTATTCTGTTGCAAAAATCTAAGTTACCGCGTTACAAATAAATAGAAAACTTATTTCTCCGCACCTAAGAAATAATTAAAAAAAAAAAAAAGAAAAGAGAATTGATCATTTTGGCACGTCAAGTCGAGGAAAAATGTTAGAATTAAAGGTTTGAAACTGTAAATCGAAATTTCAAGTTGGTCACCGATACAGTATTCGATCCGAATCTGCGCCCACTCCTCTGATCCGTGTCATTAACGACGAGACACAAGCAACGTGTGCTTAAACGGCATACTCACATCCTCCCACGTGTTCGTGATTTTCGCCAATGTAAAAATCGTAATGGAAAAAGGACGGACAAGAACGCGCCGGGAGACCCGGGGTATATCCGTGTCAGGTTGTACAGGATTGTCTGATGTAAGGACGTGGAAATTATGCAGGCATCGAGATTACATTAAAAAGAAAGATCCTTTTCTCACGTTCGTAGCACACGTTGCGCCTCCTCCACGCCGGCGTATACCCACTAATTTATCATGACCCGTGAAGCGGAGGAGCAACGGGAGGAAGGAAAAAGACGAAGGGAACGAACGGAAAAAGAATCTCGACCATCCCGCGGAGAGACCGGTTTCCTCTCTCGTTCTCGCCCTCCCTTCTTCGTCACTTACTTCTTCTGGCCTCTCGCGTCGGCAAATCGATCTCATCCCTGCATTTTCGACAAAATCCATCCAGCGTACCCGATTTCTTTAACTACCTTTTTTATTCTTTCCTTCTGTGACTATTTTGTCTTCCTCTTTTTCTTTGTTCTGTGACTCTCTTTTTTTTTTTTTGCTCTTTTTTCGTTCTGTGACTCTCCTTTTGCTCTTTTTTTTCGTTCTATGATTCTAATTTTGCTCTTTTTTCGTTCTGTGAATCTATTTTTGCTCTTTTTTTCGTTCTGTGAATCTTCTTTTGCTCTTTTTTTTCGTTCTATGATTCTAATTTTGCTCTTTTTTCGTTCTGTGACTCTTGTCTTGCTCTTTTTTCGTTCTGTGACTCTTGTCTTGCTCTTTTTTCGTTCTGTGACTCTTTCCTTGCTCTTCTTTCATTGTGTGATTCTCTTCTCGTGCTCCTTTTTCGTTCTGTGACTCTCGTCGAGTGAATGGCGAACGTTCACTGTGGAAGAATGGGAGAAGCTTAACCCTTTGCGGTCTGAATAGTCCAGTTAGTCCGCACTCATTTGGCCAATGTCGGACAGTATCGTGTAGTCTGCCTTGATTTCAGTATTTCAGCGTAATGTTAGCTGTGAAATATTAAGTTTCAATGTAATATTAATGCATAAAGTAATTTATCATTGTATGATATCTGAAGGCAAAAATTTCTGTGTCGAGTCTGACTCGATAAAGTGTTAAGAATGGTAATTTTGTAATTCTGTCGGATTGATTTTGTTCAATTACTTTTATTGTCTTTTTTTTTATGATTCCGTGGATATTTAAACTGTAAACTGTGTAAGAAAATTCAATACTTAGAACGCAATAATTTATTTATCGAGGGATTACTCGTTTTTAATTGAATTATTACGTCTGTATTGTTACGGGTTACGCTTTGAGTGTCCTCACACGGAGCGCAATATTGGTTTGTGATAGACCGGTCGAAACATTCAACGTATGCGGCTAATACGTCGTACTCCAACAAGTCCGATAGGTTTGGAACCTTCGATAAAATACAGGGTGTTCCGTAACTCCTCGAACACCCGGAAATGGGGGGTTGCTGAGGTGACACTGAACAACTTTTTCCTTTACCAAAATGTTGTTTGAAGCTTCGTTTTTGAATTATTAACGAAAAACACTGGCCAATCAGAGCGCGCGTAGAGCCCGCGC